TCTCTTTCCCTATCTGCTATACACTGCTGGTGTACATGATTTGGGTTATTTACAGGGAGCTCAAAAAAAGAAATAGAAAAACAAGAAGCACCAATAAGAATTATTTTACTCTGAATTATTAATTGAAAGATAGATTTCTTATAAACAGTATTAGTGGTCATAATTTGCATATTACTAACAAAAAAAAACAAATCTGTGACCGCTTCTATTTCATGTCCTTGGCTCTTTCCAAATCCGTCCCCCCTCCCCTGCCCCAGCGGCCACCTTAGAATTTTAGAGAAGAAGGCACCTAGGAGATCACCTAGTCCAAGTCTCTGAAGTTTAAACCATATCTCATTCAATTATCTATTTAAGCACCTGCTATGTGCCAGTCACTGTTATAGGTATTAGTGATACAGCAGCAAACCAAATGGTGAAAAGTCCTGCTCTCATGGACGCTGATCACTATCATCACGATTACACTGTACTTGGGCACTAAGAAAACCAAGCAGCAAGTATTAGTCTAGCTGAGGGTTTAAGATATACCCAACAATGCACATCTCTGCAAGCTTCAGTTTTCACATCTGGTACCTGCCTTACTTACTTCATAAGGCTGAGGGAGGATACGTGAAAGTGCTTAGAAAACTATGAAGAACATGATAGTCCCACAACTATAATGGGTCATATAGGATAAGTGGCTACAATAACACGCACTAAGTGTTGCTACCGGAGTTTAAAGGTCACATAATATGGTCATGGGATGATCTGGAATATTTTCCACAGGATATTAGAATTTAACTGGATCTGGAAGGATAGTTAGGAGGATATAATTAAATGGAGCTGGGAGACTGAGAAAGAGACCAAGTGGAGAAGATATCCAGCAGAGGAAAATATGCGTTAAGACCACGGGCAAGAATGGGAAAGTAAGGAGCACACCAATTTAGCTGGAACACACTTACTGGGGGCAGCAGTTCTCCATAGAGGTCAGCTAGAGAATAGCTAGGATGTCAAAGGCCAAACAGAGTGGCATCCAAGAGTTGTCTGCCTGTATCCCATCCAAAGGGAACCACCCCAGTCCCTTCAAGGTGATCCTGGTATGGCTGTCCATCGTGGTACTTTGCTTTCCTGGCCAAACGAGTATACTTGTAATTCAGGCAGACCCAAAGTCCTTTGGGGAAATCTGATATACAGACATTTTAGAACTTGAGCCATAAGGCTACACTACACCTGGGCTGCCAGTAATCATTCTTCCCACCTTGAAAGAATCTGCCTGAGAATGAAGCCAAAGAGGGGGCAGGGACGACAGAGGGGAGAGAAGGAAGAATGGAAAAGAGGGAGGAAGAGAGGTAGAGGAAGAGAGAAAAAAGGGGGAGGTGAGAAAAGCAAGAGAGAAGAAAGAGACTTTTGAGCCAAATATGTTATTCTAAAA